TTCTTCCATTTTATTCTTTCATATTATTCAGATGTTCGATATACTGGACTGTTTTCTAGTTTTATTATCATACTATTTTCCATCTCTTTGAATATTTGCTCACCTTCTGGGAGAATTTTATGGCTGTACTTTCAAACTTTCTATCAAACTTTCTCCTCATAATCTCCCAGGCTGGGAGGTATCCTAAATTAGAATCTTCAAAGTCTTTATTATTATTAGTGAATTTTTTTTCAGTGCTGAGGATAGAATCTGGGCCTTGCACATGCTAGGCAAGCACTCTATCGCTAAGTTAAATCTCCACTTCCAGAATATTTTTATTGATAATATTTGAATTTGGTATGACTTTGGTCAACTAGGTGTTGAGATTCAGAACTGAAGAGAAAACCATTGCATTGTTCACTTGTCCCTTGTAGCAAAATATTAGTCATATCCTATAACTTGAATAGAAAGCAAAGTAAAACAGAAACACAAAACCCCCCAGCAAGTATCAACAAGAAGAAAGCAGGTCAATCATCATCAGACAAGACCAGAGTTTAAAAAAAACAAAAAAACCCTCCTCTAAACAAAGTAAAAACAATATTTTGTATAGCTAAAAGGTTGCATCCTAATGTTTAATGTATAGTGTCAACCATGAAACACTTTAAGTACATTTTCATTAATAAAAATAAATTAAGTCAATGTTTCCCAAATTTCAATCATTTACATAGCACCTTCACGATGCACTTAGTATTTCTTATAATTCATATAGAATTTATTTCAGTAAAAATGAAATTTTATATTATGCTGTCAATAGAAAATCACTTTCACTGATAAATGGAAGGTAAACATACAAATAAATACCTGGATGTTCTTGGGCATCAATTTTCTCATCTGTAAACAGAAGTTATAACAGGTCCTACCTGATAGGTTTATTTTTTGAGAATTAAAAGAATTCATACATATAAAGTATTTAGAAAAATTTCAGGAAGATAATGTATGTCATAGGTGATTTTTAAAGTATTAAAACAACCCATTTATATAAAAAGCATCAGTCTATACTATAAAAAGTTAAGCTGTATGGTAGAAACTGGAGATGTGCTAAAAATAAAAATTAAACAAAAGCTAATAAGTAAAATGGGACCTATACATAAGACAAACAATAGTCAATATAAACTGGTATTGGAATATGAATATTTTCAAAACCATTTAAAATGATAAGCAATGATAAGGATAAAGATTTTACACAATGAAGTGATTATCTATGAAGAAATCATATATTACTTTAAGCATTGTGAAACTGGACAAGTAAAACATTTTATATTCATGCAATGAAATATGACTAAATTAGGGCTGGGGAATTAGCTCAGTGGTGCTGCCGCCTGCCTTGCAAGCACAAGGTCCCGAGTTTGATCCCCAGTACCTGCCCCCCATGTCTAAATTAAAAAGATCATGGTTATAGCTCACAAACAGTTCAGTTACAGAAGATAAATTGAAGAATTTAAAACTATCATTTGTCTACCAGGGAATAAACAGAAAATAAACACATGAATTCAAAGGACATATATCAAACCAACAAGAGCTTCTGGGAAGGTGGGGAAGAAAATACTACTGCATTTTTACTAATGTTTTATTCCTTTTATCTCATGAAGGGTATGAGCAAATACATCAAAATATTACCACTTTCTAGGAAGTCATAGTAATTGTTAATTTTTTGTAGTTTTCTATCAACTATTGACAAAAATATATTCACATTTAACTAATAAGTGTTATTTGCCTTTTAGTGGTGAAAAGTATAAACAGTTGGGCCAGGTAACTCATTGTTTCCTAACACTATTGTTTTATCTTTTGATACTGATTTTTTCTTTTATTCTGACTTAGTAATAGAGTCTAAATAATCTTTGGTTTCATGTTTCATCAAGTATCCTAGTATTTTCTTAATAATTAGTTGACAGAATGATATAAATAATTAGTATGTTTTTATGGAGTATTTTGATTGTGGTTCAACTATTATAATATCTTTACATTTTATATTTTAAGTAAGTTAGAAAATTACATGAACAATGGTACCAAGAGTTTTGACAAAATTGTTTTCTCTCTATAAACTTGGCTTTGTAGGATCTGGACTTTTGACATCTGCACATCCACCAAAGGTTCTCTTCCTTTTAAAACTGTCTTCAGTTACAAGCAATAGAGAAGAGAGAAAACAGTGTGGTTCAGATGCTGGTTTTATATCAGTTGCTGGTTTTCTGGAATCACCTATTATATTAATATATGCTTTTTTTAAAATTTAGAAACGTACACATGAGTTAGTGAAAAAACTTGGAGAATTTAAATGCAAAAAATAAAAATACCAAAATCATCCCTAACCGTGGACATCTTCCACACTATATTTAAAAACGTTTTGAGAGGACATGTTAAGAAGAGAAAGAAAATTATAGACTTCAAAATGACTTTAAAAAACGAGTGGTTATTTTGAGTTGTGGGATTATGAATAATTATTATTTTATGCGGTTTTCTGCTGCACGGTCCAAAAACTTCCACTAGGAAGATGTGATCAGAAAGAAAAGACTGTACTTTCAAAAGAAAGAACGTCATGGATAATTACATAATAAAGAAACGAATTCTTTCCTTTCATTCGTTTCGAATAATTCGAATATTTGAATAATTTCTTTCTAGGATAGCTCACTAACCAAAATTAACTCATTCATTACCTAAAACTCCCGCCACGCGTTAACAATCAAATTGGCTCAAAGAATAACCAGAACTTCCTTTTCCATAATTCCTGTCTCACTAGTTTCCCATAAATCCGAGGGCTTCAAACATCTGCCCAATAAGAGAGGAAGCTAGCCGGCCTCCTCACTCTTATTGGCTTTTAACGATTGGTCCCGCCTCACCCTCTTAGTTTGAGGCTGTTTATTGGGTAAAATTGTGGACCGAACAGATTTTGACAGCCGGCCCGGAGGCGTGGCTATAGACGCCCCAAAATTGTACACACACCTACTGCACCATGTACCGAGCGCTCCGGCTTCTGACGCGGTCGCGTCGCCTCCTGCGGGCTCCAGACTCAGCGTCAGCTCCCGGCTTGGGTGGCGCGGCCATCCTCCCACTCTGGTCGCGGAACGCCGCTCGAATGGTGAGCGTGGGCCTTGGATCCCCGGCCTCTCTGCGATGACCTTCAGCTTTCCTGCTCGTTAGCGGGGACGCCCGCGGGTTGGCGGGAGGGAGTCCCTGGTGTCCCGGCCCAGCGGCCCTGGGCTCTGCGCCCGACCTGGCACGGCAGCCTCCCGGCCCCAGGCTCCTCCGGCCGCGCTAGAGGATCCTGCCCCCGGAGGGACGTATGGGGAGCTGGCGGGAGAGTTCTGCGGGCCGCTCCTGGCCTCTCTGGAGCCCCCACCGCCCGGCCGGGGCCGAGGCTGAGGCGTTTGGGGGTGAGCCACCTCCGACACGCTTAGGGCTTCGCTCCTGTGCTTGAGGAGGCTCCCATCCCCGGGCCTCTGCCTCAGATACCCTAAGGGGCGACGGGGAGGGCGTGAGGCGAGGGGCAGCCCTTGCTCTGCTCCTTAGCAGGGTCTGGCCGCGTGCTCTTCTGGTCGCCCCTGAACTGTGGCTTCTTGGTCCCGCACGGTGCTTTGAGACCTCCAGGTGGAGTAGAAGGTAGAAAGATGCTTTCAGGCCCGCCAGAGGTAGGTGATACAGTAGGTTTCTTCGGTAAATACTTTACTTCTCGTGAGATTGCCTGTTCAGTTTGTTAGGCTGAATTTGGTTTCCCCCACAACTTTTGTAAAAAGTAAAAAATCAGAAATCTTAAATTGGAGATGTTCAGATGTGTATTTGAAGAGATGGAATAGGATGGAAGACATGGAGTAGCCGAGTCAGTACTTTATATTCAGAAAGACAGCTAAGGAAGGACAGCTACTGAAAGGTCCAGGTTCGAGGTATTATCTAAGTCCTTCTATTCTTTAGAGTGTCACCTTCAGCATTCAGGCTTTAAAAAGTATTAAATATGTGTCTATGTTCAGAAAAGTTTGAGAAATTAATAATAGTTTAGGAAGTGTACAGTTTTTCACAGTCCACTGAGGTGTAGCATGTCTTTTGCAATCTAAGATGGGATTTCAAATCCTAGTCTCCTCAAAGTTGAGAGTTTGGACACATTGTCTTTGCACCTCAATTTGCACATGTAAAATTGAAGTAATTACAGCTACTCAGCAAGATTGCACATAGGAAAATACCATGCATTGAGTCCTTAGTAAATATACTCCACCTGGCCATTTCAACGGCCCAAGACATTTTCTGGAGTACAAATTTTAAGATACTTCTATGCCATCATTCTACCTAAATCTGCAAAGTCTAGGATACTTTGTATTCCTGGAATTTCTTGCTCTAGTAATTTTTGTGCATTGTAGAGCCTTTAAACATTTTTTAATTCATTTTTTTAACCTATTTAATGTGTAGTAAAGGGGAACAGGAGACTGGGGAACTCCTGAATCTGTTCTGGTGTGGCAAATGTCAAAAAATAGTACTGCCTGGCTCTTAGGGCTTTAATATTAGAAAATAGATAAGGGTAATTTCTTTTTCATAGTCCAAACACATTTTCTTTTTTGGCATTCTAATTTTCTCAGCTCCCAATTTGTTGATTTGGTTAAAGTCTTTCTGTTGCTTGTGTTGAGAACTCTAGAAGCCTTACGTTACCTTTTATTTAAAAGAGCACATAAAAATTCATTCAGTAGAAAGGTAATGTAGATACCGAATGCCTTCTGTGTATTGGGTCGTGTCAATAAGACAGTTTTTGGGCATGGATTTTAGAGACTTTTGGGGGAGATTAAGCAAAGCAGTTAAATAAACATAGAAGTCACACCTGAATAATGCAGTATGATAACTACTACAGGAGAAGTGTGTTGAGAGTGAATGTTTAACAGTGAGTACTCAACCAGCTCTGAACTTGCTCTGGTTGCACTGTGGTTAGAGAAGGCTTGTATTTTCTTTTAAGGTCATTTTATTTCCTTAATGATTTTCAGGATGGCCATAAAAGTAGAAAACATAAATGATCTTATTCAGTATTGTAATGTAATGTCAATAAGCCATTTATTATGTATTTGCCTATTTTGAGGTTTGAAGGTCACACCAGACTGAATTTCAGAAAGAAACTGAAAATTCAAAACACTGAAGTCAAATGTTGAATTTTTATCTATTAAATCTTTTTGTATAGAAGGGCGATCAGTCCAACTGTCTAGAAAGGGGGACTCAAGGGCTAAAGAAAAAAAAGACAATAGAGATTTCAAAGTATAATTTCCAAGTATATGGGCGGCCACGAGGTCAGTACCTCAGAGCGGGCAAGGACAAAGACTCCAAGCTAGCCATCATTTATTGGGAACATACAGTAACTGGAGGGAGTATCAGGTGACTTAGGGGCCAGCGGTGATCCTATGTCCTTGTGGATCTTAAGGTGATGAAGATCTTGGATGAGGTCTATGTTGATGAGGGTGGAAGGAGAGCATTCTTACAATAGTAGGTGGGACAAGATAGTAGGCTAATAAAGAAATAGTTCTTCCCCTAGGTGAAAACTTTCTCTGTTTTTAAATTACTACTGGTTCTCTGAAGAGCCAGGATGTCTTCACTGAAGAACCAGGATGTCTTCACCTGATGTACCCTTGCTTGCCCTTGAACATCACACACAGTATCACAGGATGCAACTACCAAGTGGTGGATTGTCTTAACTACAAGGCCTGAGTAATTTCTGTTGTATTATGCCATCTCATGCTTAGTGTTTGCACACCATATCTGAATTTTGTTTAAATATATTATAGAAATTTCAAAATATTCCTAGATCATTTTCAAAAATTCCCAGTAAAATAAACCTTAACCTAAGTTTGAGTTGTCCAAATTTTGACCAATAATGGGCACATTCTTGAAATAAAAGAGATTACTATTGTGCTTCAGTGACTTTGTATTTAACATGTATGTAGTGTATGAGTTCTACAATCTGTATTTCTGTATTATCGAATTTGAGTGCCAAAAATTTCTCAAGGAAAGAAGTGAAAGTGGGGAATAGAGTGAGAGTTAAAACAGAATTTTTTGTATTTAGATACTTATTAAGATTTCTTTCCCCTTACAGCCAATAAGATATTGTTGTTTTTGATATGAGCTTTCTTTGTAAGTGGTAATTGTTTTATCTTTGTCTTTAGGCAAGCCAAAATTCCTTCCGTATAGAATATGATACCTTTGGTGAACTGAAGGTCCCAAATGATAAGTATTATGGTGCCCAGACTGTGAGATCTATGATGAACTTTAAGATTGGAGGTGTGACAGAACGTATGCCAGTAAGTGTCCTTTGTAGAAATGTTAGCTTATTGTGGGTGAACTAAGCTATATTCAAATGAGTCACCTTACTTTATAAGTAAATACTTTACAGATTTAAAAGTAAATATTATTAGAAAACTCTTCCTGAGTAAAATACTGTTTTCTTTCATTAAAATGTCAAAGAGCCTTTTGAAGTTTTAGTGTGCTACTACTTTGTGCCATGGTTTTGAATATTTGGAATTCTTTCGAGGCAGGTGGCGGCACCACTGAGCTAAATCCCTGGCCCTAAATATTTGGAATTCTTATTGGATAAAACTGATTATCTTTTCATTCTTGCTGGGTATTCACAAGTTTTTTGCTGGGGATTTACGGCTTGTAAACATTTTTAATTTAGTATTCCAATTTTTATTTCTTTTTTTGGTTTTATATATTTAAAGCTTTTGTTTCTCTTTAATATTATACCTTCTACTTTGGTTTCAGTTTCCAGAAAAGTATACAGAACATAAATATACCAAAGTATTCACCACGTCTAGCATATAGAGATACATAAGTGGATAGAGAATACGTAAGTGTTCAATGCCACATGAGTGATTCAATAATTAGAAACTTTCTGCGACATTTTACTACATCTGAGATGCCATCAACTAGAAGATATACCAGTATCTGCCACTAAGAAAGAAAAAAGCTAAAGTTATGATATGCAATGATTGTAAGGTGCTTTTTGATTTCAGAGTTGTTAAAATGTGAATAGGGTTAGTGAAATAACATCACAAATCCCACTGGAACCCAATCCGAGGATGAAAAATAATCAATGCAGGATAGGCTAGCAAGCCTAGAAACAGTGTTAGACTTCATTCCAGTGAGATATCATTTACCAGTTGTCTTCTCAATAACTTTATTCTAAATAATTTTAACTTATATATTTTAACTCATTCCTAAGTCTTCAAGACTGAATCTTCACTGCTTGAGAGAATTTTATGACAGGCAGCTAAATCTTTGAAGAAAATTTCTTTGTCATTGTCATTGCGTGGTAATGAGGGAAATATCAAGTCTGACTACATTTTGGGATAGCAAAGATAGCAACTGATCCTAAAATACTCTGATATAATTCAGTTCTGGGATTAAGGAAGTCAGCCCTTGACAGTATTGGTTGGAATGGGCATGGGTTGTTCTGTGATTATCTACCAGCAAGTTGGGTGGTTTTAAGGATGTGGCTGCTGATATTCCAGCAACAAGGCACCATTTGGATTCTATGTCTGTATGAAAGGTGGATACCTAGAATATCAATTTATTCACATTTGATTTCATCTGTATTAATTTCCTGAGCTTTATTAAATATAAGACAGACCCTGAACTTAGTAGTATGATTAAGTCCAACACTTCATATTTGAAGCCTAAAGGAAAACAAAACCAAAAGAGATCATGAACTTCTGCATTTGATCTTAGCAAAAAGGCTCAGAAATTGAGATTATGAGTTTCTAATATAAATTAAGAATATTATAATCTTTTTTTTTCCCCAGTGATATATTGTGCTTTTTTAAAAAAAATAGTATTTAGTGTAACTTTCTCTGCTATCAGCCTTTGTCATTTTTCTGGGTCTATAAACCCTAGCTTCAGTCACTCCATTCAAATGGCCAGTGTTGATTGACATTTGGTTATGACCTTGGTTTTGGTCAACCTACCACCATAGTGTTTGTTCCTATAAAAATTATTCATTTTATTTTTATTGTTTTTTGGGGGGTTTGTTTGTTTGTTTTGAGACAGGGTCTCACTGTGTAATTCAGGCTGGTCTTGAACTAACTAGGTAGCCCAGACTGACAATAATCCTCCTGCCTCAGCATCCTGAATGCCCAGCTTTCTATAGAGATTTAAATCCCTGTTTGTTTACAAGTTTTTAATTCTGTGGACCATTTATCTCCATTTTCTTTCAGTAAAACTTAATTTTGTTTACTTAAAATTCAAAATAAAATTTTTCTATTTTCCTGTTGTGTTTGCCCCTCAGCATATACTCACTCTGCTCTAGGTTTATGTGTTAGTATGTCTTATTCTTTATGTTGTTTTGTTTTTTCCACTTGATTCCACTCTGAGGAGTATAGCTTCTGTTTTATAGGTTTCATTGTTCTCTTCACCTTGTTTTCTCCCTTTTGCTTTCTCTATGCGAATTTCATTTGAGGTCTGTGCCACATTGTATAGTACTAGTTTTGACAAGACTTCATAATGTACTGGTTTGATAAAAACCAGCTTATTATTTCCTTGAAATATGTTTAAAAGTTATTCAGTTTACCTTTTTAAAGTTTGTTAAGGTGATTTTGATTAGAAAATGAAAAGATTTGTTTACTAACAAATGAAAATATGGGTATGTATTAGAGGTTAATCAACTTTAGGCCTGGAGAACCCTGGGTTTTTAAAACCTGAGAAATTTCTTATTGACTGCCAAGTCTTCCCTAACTAGATTATGTTGATTTTTGGCTTTGGGTTTGAGTGGTTATCTCATAGTGGTTTGAGTGGTGATCTCATAGTGATTAGAAGTAAAATATGTCATTGATTTTTTGTTTTTTTAAGAGAAGAAGGAAAAGATTATAGCGTGGGACTGTCTCTTGCTGGAAAACTATTGAATACCATTTGTTTTTAACATACTATATGAAATAAATGTACACTTTATAGTATATACAAAAGTACAATGAATTTTACATTGAATGTATGGTGTGTGTATATGTGAGGCACACATATAAATACATAAATAAACTCTACTTGCTTTTATTTGGTTCTCTTAGTTCACATATACAGACGTATCTAATCTTTATATTCTAAACATTTGAAAATCATAGTGTTAATTAGGTAACTGTTTTGGTATCTGAATAAAATAACACACTTTCATTCTTAACTGAAGTTACAAATTTGAGATCTTCTTTTAAAATTTTAGATCCCAGTTATTAAAGCTTTTGGCATCTTGAAACGAGCAGCTGCTGAAGTAAACCAGGATTATGGTCTTGATCCAAAGATTGCTACTGCAATAATGAAGGCAGCAGATGAGGTAGGAAGTGATTAATGCATTTACTTCATGGCATCAGACCCATTTCATTTATTGGCTTATGATAAGCTCTGCCAGCGGGAAAGGGCATTGTAAATTCTTGAGTTAATAAATTTCAAGGTAGGGTGGCAGCATTATTGTTTGAGGAGAAAATTAATATGGTGGTTAAAATTTAATATTCTGATAAAATGTCTGGATGTTATTACATCTTTAACTTTTAAGCCTCTTGACTTTCCTTGTTAATTTATGTAGTTTTAATATTTTTTTTGAAAAGACTGAACTTTAATTTGATTTCTTTAAGAATAAATGGTTCCTTTTTAAACTAGTTGATTATTTAATAATACTTAAGAATATAATTTCACTGATTCACTCATAAGGTTATCTTAAGGGATGGAGATGACAGTTCAAATACTATGTACATAGTGCTGTTCACTATATTACTGCTTATAATAATAAAAACTAACCATAGTAGCTGCTTATGTAGTTATATTAGCTATATTGTGAACGATAGAAAATTAAGTTTTTGAAGATTAGCCTAGAGCAAAGCCTTACCTATGAGAAACAGGGAGGAAATTTTCCAAAAAGATATGTGCTTTATGATCCTAATTTTGTTTTAGTCGAAAATGTATATTTTTATATGTACATACATAAGGACCCCATACCAGAAATCTACAGATGCTCAAATCTCTTCTACAGATGGGTGTTTTATATGCCTAGGCTGTATCGTCCCATATACTTTAAATCATTTCTAGATTACTTATCATACCTAATGCAATGTCAATGCTATATAATTAATTGTTCTATATTGTTTAGGGAATGACAAGCAAAACAATCTGTCCGTGTTCAATACAAATGCATTTTTTTCCCAAATATATTTAATCCATGGGCTGTTAAACCTGGAGGTAGCTTCCTCAGATACAGTGGGCCCATGGCACGTGTACGCATACCTGTTGTGGGATACAGATTGGAAGGAGAGGCTGACAAGCTAATAGTCATTATTTCTGAGAGGTGGAACTATAATTCCTGTACTTTCCTCAGTTCTCAAAATTGTCTACACTGATCACCTATTATTTTTATATAACTAGAACAAAAGTTTTATTTTAAAATGAATGAGTTGTTCAAGGCAATAGATTTCTAAAGTGCATTCTGATTTTTAAGCTTCAGGATATAAAGTTAAGCACCCACTTCTTTTACGAAGCTTACATTTGAAAAACATATGGGCCAAGAGCATAAAATTATGACAAAAATAGGGGCAAATCTGGGCAGTGCTTGTTTCTACTTTTGGCAGTTGCTACTCATTGGACATCTGTGCAGTGAAGTAGCTATTAATGAGCTCACATTTTCAAGTCCCTAGTTTATTATCATGCTGACTCTGGGTGGTAACATCTGTTGGATATTCCTGCTGAGCACCAACAATAAATGTATCTAAAGACATAACACATTTGCCACCCTTTACAGGTGGCCTTCTATTGGAGCAGGGAGAAAAATAAGAAAGATGGGTTTGATTCATTTTCCATTTGAAGCCAGTGAATTATTATACCATTCAGAATATGTATTTCACTTTAAAGTATTCATGGTTGGGAAAACTTATGCTATGGAATCTTAGAATTGTGGAACAACTACATTCACACTCTATGGAGCCATCATGAATTCACTTAGCATACAAAAATAACATCCTTAAGATAGTTCTATAAATGGAGTTTGCTTAATCATGACTGATTGAAATAGTTGAATGAATATTGCTTCTTATTTTTAAAATACTCATTTGTAACTTCTTTTTTTTCCTCCAGGTAGCTGAAGGTAAATTGAATGATCACTTTCCCCTTGTGGTATGGCAGACTGGATCAGGAACCCAGACAAATATGAATGTAAATGAAGTCATTAGCAATAGAGCAATTGAAATGTTAGGATGTGAACTTGGCAGCAAGAAACCTGTTCATCCCAATGATCATGTTAATAAGAGCCAGGTCAGTACATATCCTCTCCTTTTTTTGTTACAAGTGGAAAAGCAATACCTGAGATTTTTCTTGTAGGGCAAGCATATGCTTTTTGACATTGAAAGTGTACTCAACATATATTCTTTAGAAAAAAGGATTTCTTAAGTTTCTTATTTCTTTTAGGAATCTTGGCTTTGTCTCAAATCTTACCAAATTACTTTTAGGACATCTGAATTTAGCATATACGTGTATTTTTACTGTTTCTTTTTGTGGGGGGTGGGGGACATCGAGACAGGGTCTCACTATGTAGTTCAGGCTGGCCCGGAGCCCGCTATGTAGCCCAGGGTGGTCTTGAAATCGCGGTGATCCTCCTGCCTTAGCCTCCCGAGTGCTGGAATTACAGGTGTGTGCCACCCTGCCCAGCTTGTTTCTTTCTTTTTTTTTTATTAAAATGTTTTTGAAGTAATTCTAGATTTATAAAAGAATTACAAAGATAGCTAAGAGTTACTTTTTTCTCTTCCACTTCCCTTAACATTAACATCTTAGATAACCATGGTACATTTATCAAAAGTAGGAAATTAACACGGGCACAGTATTCTTAAATAAACAACATATGTTCTTAGGATTTCCCCAGTTTTTCCATTGATTTTCTTTTCTCTCAGGATTCAGTCCAGGCTACATAGTCACATGTGCCTTTAATTTTCCAACCTGTGACAGCATTTTCGCCTTTTTCCTCAGATCCTTTGGGCTGCTATGTAGACTACTTGGCTTGAAAACAAGTATTGTTCTCAGTTTTAGAGGCCAGGATGTCCAAGATCAAGTGACTGGAAGATTTGCTGTCTGATGAGGGCCTACTTCTGGGTTCATAAACAGCCATCTTCTCTGCATCCTCACATAGGGCAATGGCAAAGGAGCGTTCTGGGTCTCTCTTACAAGGCACTAATCCCATTTCTGAGTGTTCTGCTTCCATGAGCTAATCACATCACAAAGCTTCTGCAGCCTGATACCAGCTCCTTGGAGTTCAGGGTTTCTTTGTGTGAATTTTGAGGGGGTATGGATATTTAGTATCCTTGACACTTTTGAAAGTAATATAGGGTATTTTGTAGAAATTCTGTCAATTTGGTATCATACATTTTCTCATGCTTGGACTGAGGCTGTGAATTTTGGGAAGATTTATCACAGAAGTTTTCATTGCCTTATATCGGGGGTACAAGATAGCAACATGGCTTAAGACTGTTGATGTTAACTTTCATCACTTGGTTAAGGTGCTGCTTGACAGATTTCTTTCTCTACAATAAAATTGCTTCTTTTCCTCTTTTCTACCATATTTGTTAAAAATGAGTCTGTAAGTGCTGCTTCCACTCCAGGTATACTATACTTGAGCTTTAATTTCTAAAGGGAGGCATGTCAAAAAAATTTTGGACACATGTTAAAGAATCATCATAGTAATTACTAGTGATACTTAGATAATATGGAAACATCTTTTTTCTCCTTAAACTTTTGTCTGTTTTATCATTCATCAATATAGCTTGCCTACCTCAATTACTGCTATAGTCTTTTAATAACATTCAATTTTCATTCTTCCTTCTAACTGTATTGATTGAAATTTTCCTCCAAAGAAGATTTGAACTCCCATTTTCATTTATTTATTTATTCAATCATTTATATATGTCAGTATGGATTTGTGGTGATTTATTTTATTCTCTGGATTAGAGTACAGTACTTTTGTTATTTATACTGCTGCTTAAATTATCTCAGTTTTAGAAAACGTATGGCTTTTGTCCTGTGGCTTTTGTCCCCTTTAGATGTGCCACTATCTTTTTTTTTTTTTTTTAGTACAGCCTTACTTTTTGGCGCTGTAAAGTAGCTCAACTCCATCATCTTCTAATTTCCCTGCCTCAGCCCTAGAAACAGGCAGTTTTCAAAGAACTCTTGGGGAATCTCTTTGCAAAATAATATTGAGAAACCAGAATCTGGGTGCTAAGTATAATTTAGTGTATTTTTAATTATTAAAAGTAAAAGGTTTTTCTTATATAAGATCATTGTATGAAGGATTTTTTTTCAAACTCAATACTTGCCTTTAATATATTAAATCTGAAATCTGCTTCAGAATAATACAGTGTGTTTAATAGGGTGAGGGAGGAGGGTAGAGTTATATGTGACGCAGATTGACTACACAATGACGATTATTGAATTTTGGTAATAGGTGCATTAGTGTTCATTATACTGCTCATCCTACTTTTGTGTTTTGAAATTTTCTGTAGTAAACAGTTGAAATATGTAAATAGCAAATGTATCTTTTTAGATAGCATGATACTATAAGTGTTTCTACTGGGCCAGTAGTTAAAGAAAGAGTTTTGATACACACTGCCTGGTAGGCCTCAGTTTCACTAGTTCTTAAATATTTTGGTCACACTGTCTCTTTGAGAGCTTGGCTTTCCTATTAAAGTGATGACCCTTCTCACAGCATTTTCTTGAAATTTAATAAACAAAATGTTTCTGAAAGATTGAATGCACTATATAATTGTAAGATATTTTATTATTATCTCCAAATGCATTTGTTAACTGTACTTCTATGTTTTGCTGTCATTTATTAGTGGGTAGATAATGTAATATATTCAATATACCTGGTTATAATGTATAATATATTCAGTATATTTGTATATAATACAGTTCTGAGTTTGTTTCAGTAGGAAATCAAGTCGCTTCTTGTTTGCCCTTAAGTGGTCCATGACCTCCCACACATAATTGTGACTGGGTATTGCATACAAGGAGTTTTGGGTTGTCATTTAGTGTTTTTTGAGATACTCACGTTTGTTTTATGTTGCCTCTGTTTTAACATTTTAATTTCTTTTGAAAAATTTCCCACAGAGCTCCAATGATACTTTCCCCACAGCAATGCACATTGCTGCTGCCATAGAAGTTCATGAAGTACTGTTACCAGGGCTGCAGAAGCTACATGATGCTCTCAGTGCTAAATCCAAAGAGTTTGCGCAGATCATCAAAATCGGGCGGACTCACACTCAGGACGCTGTTCCACTCACTCTTGGGCAGGTATAGGACTGTGACTAATTTTATTCTATTTGGGGATCAACACGATGGCCATTCTATTGTCCTTGAAATCACACTGGTTTAAAATGCCAAGCTTATAATAATTAATGACAGTGACAACAATTATTCTGAATTAACCAGTCAATAGCTGGTTAATTGAACCCAGGGTCTTTGTGCTGAGCTACATCCCCAGCCCTTTGTAATTATTTTGAGACTGGGTTCTGCTCAGTTCCTCAGGCTATGCTGTTAACTTGTGATCCTCCTGCCTCAGCCTCTTGAGGGCTGGAATTACAGGTGTGTGCCACCACATCCAGCCTAAGTCAGTAGCTGTAATGCTATCCACTTAGAAGAGCAGAGCATACTGGCAGTGAGCTAAACTCGGTCAGCGTGTTCTGGTTCAGATCTTTGCTATGAATAAGCTGTGGGAAGAAAATTGTTTACCCTTTCTGTGCCACAGTTTTCTGACCTGTAAAATAAGGAGAACATCATCTCTCTCACAGATTAGTTATGGGGTTCTAATAAGCTGATTCATGTAGACCATTTCGAACCTTTAGTACCCATTAGTGTTAGCTGTCATCATCAGCACACTCATCTTCACCAAGGTTGTTATTTGTCTGTTTCATTCTAAGGTTGTTATTTAAAATTTAAAGTGAATAAACAGGGTAGCTATTACCTTATAAAATTATTTTGCCCACATGTGAAGGAGGTATTATTCTCTTCTTCAAAATACCAGAAAATATTTTTATGTCCCTTTACCAGTACCTCAAAGAATACCTAATAGCATGCACTACAAAGGAAATTCAATAAACATTTTTTTGTCAGCTTACGTTCCAGTTTGGGTGGTAGGATATATACAAATTATATATCAGAAGGTTATATATGCCAAATATCAAATGATAAGTTGTCAAATAATAGTTTCATGGAAATTGAGGTCAGGGTAAGAATAAAGCTACTGCTTACTTGGATAAATTCTCAGTTATGATTCTGTGTAGATGATATGGTAGCAAACACTAAAGAAAACTTTTAGTTTTTGATCATTCAGCTTAATTTCATTACTGAAGGGATGAAGAAAACTCAGAATGATTAGTTGAAATACAAATGATGGGACTAAATTGAGCTCCTCCTCCTACAGATTATGTTGCCTTTTAAGACTGTGTCCCATTTCTCTTTCCATTATTGGCTCTTAGTACCAGTTTCTAAGGAGGAACAATGTGTGTGTTTAAAACTATTGTTCCCATAGATGCAAAAATCCGTAATAAGATACTGGCAAATAGAATGCAGAAGATCATCAAGAAGATCATACACCTTGACCAAGTGGGATTCATACATCCCAGGGATGCACGGATGGTTCAACATATACAAATCAATAAATGTAATACACTATATCAATAGAGTCAAGGACAAAAACCATATGATCATCTCAGTAGATGTAGAAAAAGCAATTGATGAAATCCAACACACATCTATGATAAAAACCCTACAAAAAATTGGAATAGTCTCTACTTCAATCTGATGAAAGCTATCTATGAAAAACCAACAGCCAATATCATACTAAATGGTCAAAAACTGAAATGCTTCACAGCAAAATCAGGAACAAGACAAGGATGTCCACTGTCACCACTTCTGTTCAATATAGTGTTGGAAACATTAGCCACAGCAATTAGACAAAAGAAAGAAATAAAAGGAATAGAGATAGGAAACAAAGATGTCAAATTATTATTAATGGCAGATGACATGATACTCTATATAGATGACCCCAAGAACTCCACCAAAAGTCTTCTAGACTTAACCAAATTCAGTAAAGCAGCTGGATACAAGTTCAACACACAAAAATCAATAATTTTCCTCTACATAAACAACAGACTCACTGAGACAGAAATAGGGCAAACAATTCCTTTCACAATAGCATCCAAGAAACTGAAATACCAAGGAATCAACCTAACGAAAGAAATCCAAGACCTCTTCTCTGAAAACTATGGCACTCTGAAAAGAGAGATTGAAGATGATATCAGAAAATGGAAAGGCATCCCCTGCTCCTGGGTAGGAAGAATCAGCATAGTGAAAATGGCCATACTTCCAAAACTGCTATATAGATTCAATGCAATCCCAATTGAAATTCCAGCAGCATACTTCATGGACCTTGAGAAAACAATCCAAAAATTCATTTGGAAGAAGAACAGACCTAGAATAGCAAAAGTAATTCTAGACAACAGCAACATGGCAGGGGGTATCACAACCCCCAACTTGAAACTATACTACAAAGCTACTGTGATAAAAACAGCATGGTACTGGCAAAGAAGCAGACCTGAGGACCAGTGGAACAGATTAGAAGATGCAGAAACAACTCTAGACACACTCAGCCACCTCATCTTCGACAAAGGAGCCAAACACCCTCCCTGGAGGAATGATAGCCTCTTTAATAAATGGTGCTGGAGAAATTGGGTTTCACCTTGCCAAAGAATAAAAGTAGACCTATATCTCTCACCATGCACTAAACTAAAATCAAAATGGATTAAAGATGTAAATATTAAAACAAATGCTGAACCGACTGAAACAGACGTTAGGTAGTACTCTTGACATTGGTGTAGGAAAATATTTTATGAATAAAACCTCAGTTACCCATGAACTAGCACAGACAACAAGTGGGATCTCTTCTTATTAAAAAGCTTCTGCACAGCAAGAGAAACCACCAACAATGTGAAGAGACAACCCACAATGTGAGAAAAAATTTTCATCTGCTTTTCCTCAGACAAAGGTCTACTATCTAGAATCTATAAAGAACTTAAAAAAAATCAGACCTCCCAAATTTAAAGACCCAATCCAGAAATGGGCATCTGAAATGAACAGACATGTCTCAGACAAAGAAGTAGAAATAGCAAATAAACATACTGAAAAATGTTCAACATCACTGGTCATTCAAGAGATGCAAATGAAAACAATGCTGAGACTCTGCCTCACCCCAGAAAGAATGGCTGCTATCATGAAATGAACCAATAACAAGTGCTGATAGATAGTGCAACCGCTATGGAAATCAGTATGGAGACACCTCAGAGAGCTAGGACTGGCAGTCCCATTTGACTCAGCTATTCCCCTGCTGGGGATCTTCCCCAAAGAATTAAAAGAATCATACCACAGTGATATATGTGCACCCATGTTCATAGCAGCACGATTTGTAATAGCTAAAACTTGGAAGCAACCCAATTGCCCATCAACTGGAGACTGGATAAAGAAAATGTGTTTTTTTTTCTAAAATGGAGTACTACTCAGCCATGAAAGATGAGAAATTAGAGACATTTATAGCTAAATGGATGAATATTGAGGTGATACTCTTAAGTGAAATCAATAGGACACACGTGTAAATACTGAATAGTTTTTCTAGTGTGAGAAACTGAAAGTGTAAATAAGGACTAAAAGGTATAATAGATAATGTGAAATAGGAAGAAAAGGGGCAAAGGGAAGGGGAAGTTGGAGGGGTAGGGGAAAGGATAGAAGGGAATGGAATTAATATGAGAAAATGAAAAAATGGAAACAAAGTCTTTGTAAATAGGGAGGGATGGAGGGGTTGAAGGGAGGGCTGGGCAAGGATGAAAAATAAGAACCAAGAGAAACTATGTAAAGACTATGCAAATTTCCAATGATGAATGTCATTATATTGTTTACCTAAAATACACCAATAAAATTAATTTTAAAAATTAAAAAAAATAAAACTATTGTTCCCTCTGGTTTTTAACCCCTCCCCCATTTTGTGCACATGTCAGCATGTTTAAATCCACTGTGATAAAGTTCATTTTGGCCATGATTCAACATCCTATCTAATATCATTCAACTTATTGTGACAGAAAATTCTCTTTTTCTCTGACTTTATCAGAAGTATTTATACTTGCTTTTATTGGAATCATCTTCTGTATTTTTGCAATTTTTCCCTAATCAAAAAAATGTATTCCATAAGTGAATCCAGCCGGTGTATATATGTGACAGTTTTGTCAGGTGGAGCATGTCTACCCAAAAAGAGTTAAATCCTTTGAAATACTTTGTTTAGAACAATATGAAATCCATAAGCCAATCAAAAGTATTCAGAGTTTTTCATTGTTTTCAGGCAGGATTAAAAAAAAATGTAACAGTATATCTCAGCATGCCCAACTAAGTCCTAGTTTATGCCTTTTGTGCCCATGTAATTCCTGAGAGGGCCCTTGCTATGTTCAAAACATCATAAATTCCAGGGTTGTTTTATTTAAAAATGTGTCAAAGTGTTTGGCAACTGGTATGATGCTGACAGAATTAAAGCACATACTGAAGCCATGGTCTTACTCCACTGTTAGCCTTCTTAACGCTGTTCAGTGAGTCCCTTCTTAATGTCCTTGTAAAGTGTCCTCATGTTCCTGCTTAATTTTTTAAACTGAAATTTTGTGGAGAGTATTTCTGTTTGCATTTTTCTTGGGAGAATGTTCAGTACTTTTTCTTTCTCACAGTTATCTGAGACATACCCCTCCCCCCCCAAAAAAGGGATATCAGTATTTGTAGTTTGCAAATAAATCAGTAATTTAATATAGTAAATTTTTTTAAAAGTTAGTTTCCTGTGTTGCTTTTATTTGTTTTTTGTTCCAAGACTAGATTGTGAACAGATTGCATGTTATTATTTGCATTGCCCTACCTTACAGGTTTATAAATCCACCTCTTTCCTCAGACCTTGCTTGTCATATGAAGTGACATAGTATGAATACGACTTATGTAGCTTATACTTTAATATTCTGAAACATCTTTTAAAACTTCAGGTTAATCCAGTTACCATAAATTTTAGGCCATTAGGACATTTTTTCTCACCTTAATTTTCTTCTCTCATCAGGAATTTAGTGGTTATGTGCAACAAGTGCAGTATGCCATGGTGAGAATAAAAGCTACCATGCCGAGAATGTATGAACTTGCAGCCGGAGGTACTGCTGTTGGCACTGGCTTAAATACCAGAATTGGCTTTGCGGAAAAGGTTGCTGCGAAAGTGGCTGCACTCACAGGTTAGTGATCATGAATTGTTAGACATCATTACACCAGTCTGTATGTTTTCCCCTTACAGTCTTCAGAATTTAAAGGTAGAAATAATATTTCTCTATCAAACATGTGCCTTATATCCATTTCAAAAGTTGTAATGTTAGTCCTTCTACTTTTTAAAGGTTTTTCCACATAGGAGTTCAAAGATGCAGTTCATGTCTACCAAGGTTAACTTTATTACCTGGTGCTATTCTGTTATTTTTGCTTTAAAGCTGTTTTGCAGTATAGTTTTCAAAGTAGATAAAGTCATTTGAACAATAAAAATGTTGAAGGTAAGTGTAACTTTTTTGTGTTATGCTGTCATATTTTTTTGAATTATTAATCTTTTTTTGGTGTTTGTTTTGTGATGCTGGGGATTAGGCCCCAGGCCTCAAATGTGCTAGGCAAGCACTTTACCAACCACCAAGCCATGTCCCCAGCCCAAATTATTAACCTTTTTAATTTCTGTCTTTTCTTCAGTGGAGTTCTGTAGTCTGAATAATGATTACTATTATTAAAACCAAGTTGTCATGTTCAGAAAGCTCTTACTAAGATGCAGTTGTTACTTCAAGGTTAGGATCAAGATAAGTATACAATGTGTATTAGAGCTTACTGGCTGAATTTTTCAAATCACACTTTCATATAAAATAACTATTCTTAGGGTTTAGAATGTAGAGGGTTTTAAAAACCTGAACATTGGAGAGATTGACTGAGAACACCTGGTTGATATCCACTCTCTATCTCTCAGAGGATCTTATCCCCCCTGGCTAAAGGAAACAGTGGAACAGAGTACAGTGGATAAAGAAATTTTTTTTTTTTTTGGTACTGGGGATCGAACTTGGTCCTTCTCTTGTGCAGCAGGCGGCAAAACCACTGAGCTAAATCCCCGGCCCGACAAAGAAATTTTTAAAAATTATACTAGAAAAAGAGCGTGAAATAAAGGAAAAGTGAATTTTACTCACTTTTCATCCTTACTCAAGAATAGTCAGGCATCAGACAATCAGACAGGTGTTTGCAGGAGGATAGTGTTTTTCATTCCATTATATTTATTTATTGTCATTGGTATTTCATCTTGTAAATGCGCTAGTGTCAGTTCTTTTTGCCCCCTTGGGACTTCTTAAAGAAATATAGACAAAGCTTGAAACTTAAGCACTTTTTTTGAAGTACAGTTTTTATTCTGTTTTGTTTTTGTTTTGTTTTTGTAGTGTTTGGGAGCAAACCCACTTGTGCATGGTATATGCATTCACTCTGCCCTTAACTACACCTTAAGACTTCTGTTCTATTTTTGCTTTTCATATACTGTAACTTCCATTTAACTTGCTGACAGTACACAAATGTTTAATTTTCCCTGTTTACCCATATAGGTTATTATTATTTTTTTTCTTTCCTTCAGGCTTGCCTTTTGTCACTGCTCCAAATAAATTTGAAGCTCTGGCTGCTCATGATGCTCTGGTTGAGCTCAGTGGCGCCATGAACACCACTGCTTGCAGTCTGATGAAGATAGCAAATGATATTCGCTTTCTGGGTTCTGGTCCTCGGTCAGGTCTGGGAGAGCTGATCTTGCCTGAAAATGAACCAGGAAGCAGTATCATGCCAGGTAATCACATAGCTAGTGAATGCTGGAGCTAGACTGACTGGACTCCAGGCATTCTCAGCTTCAGAGTGTGTCTCTTGTTGTGTAACGCAATCCCAAAGCTGAATGGGAACACTTGGGGCACACTTGTTTCAGAATGTTTGTGTCAGACATCTTGGACCAGGGCTTCTAGGAACATCATCTAACCAGTTAGGAAGAAAGAATCTGAGTTAGCAACATGAAGTTTGATTCCTTTGTTAGAAAGTATGTAATGGTTCCTTCCTTCACCATCCAAAGCCAAGAGAATTCTGGAGTAGGCTGTGCTGTGAAAGTGATCAGCAAGGATTGAGTAAAAAACAAGCCATACCAAGCTCCTGTTATTTTATGTTTTATGTGAAATAAGCCCGACAGATAAGGGAAGTGACACAGATACCGGATGTCTGGATCAACCAGGCATGTGATAGACTCATGTGATAATCATTAGTTTTAGTGGAGAAGTGTGAGCAGTGCTGGTAGATGACTGTAGCTGGTTGAACAGTGACATTGAAGGCATGGCTAATGAGTTGACTTTAGTCTGGGATATCTTGGTAGCAAGCTGAAGGGCCTTTCCCATTCAGCACTTCACTAGTGACTTAGGGGAAAAGCAGAGAATACCTGCTAGTCATATTAGCAGATAGCAAAGTTGAGATGACAGTGTGTCAAACGACAATAGAGATTTACAAAGGTGTTGTAGGCCAACCTGTGTTGAACTAAAACTGAGAAAATAATTTTTAATAGAAAGAAAGGCCTGACAATTGTTTTAAATCTATGTATGTATAGAACAGGAAGAGATCATGTTTTAGTCTTTTATGGGTTTAGTTGATTGCAAATCTGAGGTGATTGCATAAAAAAGAAATGGAGAGTTGCCAATAAAGGAAGTGATCTTCCCAGTGTTAACCTTGCACTGGTCAGAGGAATCTGGGATGTTTGTTTCAAACTTGAGCGATGGTAAAGTTACAGAGACTCATGTGATGAGTAGGAAAGTTCCAGTTTAACATAAATCCTCCAAGTATTGGTAAGATGTCTCTTTGTAAATATTCCCATACCAGCTTAGACTTCTCTGTATTTACCCATTAACTTTTGAAGTTACCAGCTCCTCCAAGTTCTGAGAAGGTAGGACTTGCATCTTTCTGAGTGTATATTCAGTGCCTGGTTTCATAAATATTTTCAAAATGATTGAAAGCCAGGCAGGTGAGGAACTCTATTTAATGTATAGATGTGGCTTCTTGTTAGTCATTAAGTGATTCAATTTGTGGTTACTCATCCCTTTACTTTGGTAAGTTTCATCCTTGCTTTATTCTATGGCTTATTTTATTTAATGAAATTAGATTTCCTTCTTATTTGACTTAAAGCCTAATCTTGACTACTCCATGAAACCATGAGTGTATCTGATGCAGATTCTGTCACTGATGTTTTTCTTGAAGGCAAGGTGAACCCTACCCAGTGTGAAGCAATGACCATGGTTGCAGCCCAGGTTATGGGGAATCATGTTGCTGTCACCGTGGGAGGCAGCAATGGACATTTTGAGTTGAATGTTTTCAAACCAATGATGGTAAGCTTTAAATTCAATTTTTAATGGCTTTTGATTAAAGACTTAACAATCTTTAGATTCAACATTAAGTAGTTGGATGGTATAGGTAGCAACCGGAAGTCAAAGACTTATTAACATGTTCCTGCCCTCTTGAACCACCAGAGGTACATGCATGCCAGTCCAGTTGGGTGGGTTGTACCACTGGTGGTTCAAATGGATCTAATTACTTTTATCAGTCTTTTTACTAATAAAGTTAATTAAAACCCTTAAATGGCCTGAATCTAGTTAGTTGGCTTAAATTTGAATAATTACTGCCCAAATATAAATATTAATATTATTCATACTAATTAAAAATTATTACAATAATCAAAAAATTTATTTATTTTCATTTAATTAAAAGGAATTTATTTATATTCATGGATTTATTTAAAACATTTTATAGATAAAGGTGTCTAATTTGTGCAGGGTGTGTAAAACTTCATAATGCCTGGGTCGGATGATCGAATTCAGATCTGCAGTGCCCAGCAGTGAGACATATGAATTACAGCCTCGTTGTGAACACGTCAATGTTAGAAGAGTAACCTTAGATATTAGGATTTAGGTGACTTAGCTCAAGTGATTTGATGCTTTTTTTGTTTAATAGGAAGAAAAATTCTTGAAGTAAGACTTGGGACCCTCAACCCTGCCTTCTTCTCAAGCTGTTCCTTTCTTTCTCCTTGCTTCAGATTCAGTCTTCTTGAAGTAACCTGAAGTTACTTTAATTTTATGTCACTGCAGTCCTGCTTCAGCCCCCTCAGTTTGTGCTCAAATTGTTTGCCCATCTCTTGTGATTTCTTCAGTCCAATGGGCATCACATAGTTCTTCTCTTACAGCATCCAACATGACAGTCCCTCTTGGAAATATTCTTCCTCCTTGGTTTTTTCAACATTTTGTCATCCCCTTCCTGTCTGTTCTCAGGCTCTCCTCCATTGGTTTTACCCTCTCTGTATGCCTTGGAAACATCATTTTGTCTACTAAAACTGTTGTTCTTCATTTTTACAAAGATGGAGCAAGATGACATCATCTTTCATTTGGTTTTCCTAACTTGAGATAATGAAGCTGTGTCACCATTTAGTCCTTGATTTGCGTAAAGCATTATATCTAACATACACTAGATGCCTTTTTTCCTGTTTGTATACAATATAAAGTCTAACTTGATAAGAATATGCAAATGCCAAATTTTAATATTCACACAGTGAATTCACCATTTATCTGTCAAGAACCTCTTTTTATTATACCCTGTATTGGGTGTTCACAGTAGCAGTGAATGAGATTTTTTGCCTCTGCTAGAATATAGGTTTTAAGGCCAACGCAGAATTCAGACCTATGAACTTTTGCTTTCAGGTCACATTCCAAGCAGTTAACACCAGCTGCCTGGCATATATGTGTGTGTGTGTGTGTGTGTGTGTGTGTGCATAACAACCTTTTTTTTTTTTGATGTTTATCATTTATTATGGATGAAAGATGATACCGTCTTATTCCATCTTTGTAAGATGAAAGAAAAAGAACAGTTGAGGGGACATAGTAATGTTTCCAAGGCATATGGAAGAGGGAAAAACCAATGGAAGAAAGCCTGCGAGGATACAAGGAGAGCACTTGGGAGGAAGTACTGTCTCGTTAATCCTTTCTTTCAGTCAGTATTTTGGTTTTCATAGAAAATAAGATAACCAACATTCACCTTACAATAAAGTTCAGTGCCTTCTATCAGAGCCAGTTGTTGAAAGTACAGGTTTTAGACTTTGGGTTTCAGACCAAAGGATGTTAGGATGTGAACGTATCTTAGTACATATTGGCAATCTTACCAGAAAGAAACGAATGCCAGAACATACCAGTTGGTTTTGTACTGTCTTTAAACACACTGTAAAAAGTTAATTTAACGAGAGTGCAATATTGGTTTTGAGCATAAAAATCTTGGTGATTATTAACAACTGGGAAGCCTTGACTTTACCGGCTGCCCCAAGCACATGCTGAGCTCGCCAACCTCTGCACCATTGCTCCTTTTCTTCCTGTGTGGAAGATTCTTGCCCTTCTCTGGCTGTCCAAGTCCTGTGTATCAAGCAGGACTTCAACTCCTGTAGCAGAAAGTAATTCCCTTCACTGTGGTTGTTCACACTTCACACCCGTTCTACCTTATATTTTAGTTATTTGTATTTATGTCTTTTTCCACCTTTTTCAGATTTTTGTGCTACATATGTTCATAATTTCTTTCACATTTGTTTTCACCTGATCGTAGCCAAAAGGCCGAGAAGCGATCACATTTTTTTTCTATGTTCAGTGCTTTATAGTTTTTAGGAGTGCTGTTTATTTCATTGAATTATATATTTATATGAGCCAGCAAATAATATATATCATTTGACAAAAAAAAATAAGTTTAGTTATGTGTTTCTTTCTCTTTCTCTGAAAGATTAAAAATGTGTTACACTCAGCCAGGCTTCTGGGGGATGCTTCAGTTTCCTTCACAGAAAACTGTGTGGTGGGGATCCAAGCCAACACAGAAAGGATCAACAAACTAATGAATGAGTCTCTGATGTTGGTGACTGCTCTTAATCCTCATATAGGTAAGGGTTTAAGGAAGAATAATGTCATTTTGAATGGGAAATTAAATGTTGAAAACTTTTTAGAGAATATTGGATGAATATTTGTGGGCAACAAATTCTTGGACATTGTTTTAGTAAAATCTTAAAATACTAGAAATTATGTTAAAAGAAACTATATATATTTATAACTTTTATTGTGTCATAGTTCTTTCCAAAACAATCCATTATACTTCATTTTATTTGAAGTATCATATTTGGAAATAGTATTTCAAACTTATTTAATCTTAATTGAATTCAGATGCTAAATATTTTAGGCAGCACTTGGTTATTTATAAGACTCTGGATTGGTAATGTCACTAGGTGGCACTGGCTGATGAGCAACATGGAATGAATTCATTCATCTGCCTTCTCTGGATGCTCTTATTCCCTGACCTTGTTATTTTATCCAATTCAGAAATAGAAAGTTGCCAATTAAAGAGAAAAAAGGTATATATATTCATTCCTTATAAGGAAAGGAAGGAAAATGTAAATATTTTATTTAAAACCATACTTTTACATTGCAAGCCTTTTTCCAGACTTGTAAATATTTCATTATGTAGAATCACCCATACTTGGATTATAGGCTGACTGTAGTAATCCCCATTAAAAAGGCTGTTTTGGTTTTTGTAGGTTTGGAGCATTTCTTGGATTATATTATAATGTGTTAAAAGCCTTTTTGCCCTTCTTTCTGCTGAGCTGATGTTAACAGAGCCTTTGATTTTCTATTTTAGAACAAGTTATGATGTAGTCATTTGGCATAATATCATTACTACTTTAAAACTTCTGTAATCCTGAACTTTGCAAACAGACTTTATATTCTTGGCTACACATCAAACTGTAATTTCAGTTAGAGCTCATTTGATTGCTCTGGGTAGCTCTGAGTCTAATATGATCCATAGCTTTTTTGTGGGGGAGGATTGTATAGTATTAAGACTAATAAAAATATTTTGATCCATTTATAATTGTTATGCATCGACATTCAACTAGAAAGATATAAATGGAACCCCAGAATGTTTCATCAGATCTTGAGAATGTATTATCAAAACTTTTAAATTAGAGGTATCCCCTAAAGCTGAATAGATAGATCTTTCTTGCAATCAATTTAGTGTTAGATGAAAAGACTTATCAGAGAAAATATAAAGATGAGCTGAGCATGAGCCTTACAACCCCTCATATCATGAATTTTCAGTGACTTCATTGTGTTACAGGTGGTTAATATGTCTTGTAGAACTTGAGACTAAAAGTGGTGCACATTAATGCTAAGATTTCAGTGTCATTGTTAACGTAAAAGTACAGAACATATATTAATCCCAAGAGTTTCACATGAGAATTCTTTCACAAAGCTGCTCTGTTAGTAAATGCTGCCCTTACCAATGTGTTTAGAATGCACAAATTCAGTTACATAATAAAATCAATTCTGCCCATAGTTTGTTTTATAGATGTTTAAGTATTGCTTACAGACCTGTATCATTTTGTTTGGTTTCAGACTTCTTTCCTTTGCACATATTCCTCTGATCTTTGCTTTTTTTTTTTCTCATGTTAGTTTCATTTTACCTACTGAGTTTTAAAAAATTATATTAAGTCAGACAACTTGCAGAACTGCATAACTTCTGTTAACTCTGTAATTTTGTTAACTTCAAAAGCAAATAACCGAAGTGAACAGTATGTATAAGTATATATTTCTGCTCAGACTTCCCCAGCCCTCTGTGTAATGGAGAGGCCCGGGAGCAGAGCTCGCTGCAGAGAAGAGCTATGGGAAGCATCTCTGAAGGGCCTTCTCCTCCTCACAGGGATTCCTACCTCCTGGGACCGCTCGCACAGCTGTCTGCCACACTGTGCTGTATTTTCTGTAGGACTGGAGCATTGAACTTGTCACAGTCTTTATTCCTTCAGACGAGTAAAGATCTATCTATTCTATATGAGAAATACTAATTATTGAGTCACTGTTAAATATTTTTAAAAATAAATAACATCACTGAAGAAGCCCATAGCATCAATATGAGATAAACAATAATGATTGCCTTTTGCTGAAGAAAACCGAGTGTCACTATTAATTCCTGTATTGTCTTTTTATTTTTTCTTCAGGGTATGACAAGGCAGCAAAAATTGCTAAAACTGCGCACAAAAATGGATCTACCTTAAAGGAAACTGCTATTGAACTTGGCTATCTCACAGCAGAGCAGTTTGATGAGTGGGTAAAACCTAAGGACATGCTGGGTCCAAAGTGATTCAAATAAGTTTATAATAAACGTGTAAAATTTTTAAAAAGGACTCTATTTTTCTAATCAAAAATGGATACGTTTGAAGGGAAACTACTAGACTTGAGACTCTCTAGCAGAATAATTGGATCAGTGTACAAAAACCTTAGGATATGATAGATCCAAAGTGAATTAAATAAGTGTAAAATTACATTGCATAAAATAAAAAGAAACCAGCCTAATTTTTCTTTTATATTGAGTTGTATTGTAATGGAATCTTGATTTTTATGCATGTATGATTATCATTTCATAAATTTTGTAAAAGACCCATTTCATTCATTCATTCATTGTGGTCCTGGAGGTGGAGCTTAGGGCCTTATGGATGCTAGGTAAGCACTCTGACTATGCTACACCCCAGCCCTGAAGAGTTAAATGTTTTAGCTGGTGGCAGTTTTTAAAAATTCCTCTGTTGTAAAGTTTTTAGTACTTGTTATTTTGCTCCTAAGTGATGTTTTTGGCCATCTTTAATTTTCCTGTGATTTGAGGGCATAAACTGACCAAACCTTCTGAGTGAGGATATATGTATATATGCATGATGTATATTTTTAAAAATTTAGGAAACAGAATAGGTTTTTTGTTTTTGGTACTGGGGATCGAACTCAGGACCTTGTGCTTGCAGGGGAGGCGGCGGAACCACTGAGCTAAATCCCTGGCCCTAGAGTAGGTTTTAAATATTGGAATATACGTATCTCATATGAAGGGTCAGGGATTTCAGGGTATGGATTAAACAGGTTAATGGGAGCACATGGAGGCTGGAAGGAGGGATAGGCTGAGAATATCCTGAAAGTGAATCTTCTCCATCCGCTGTGCACCGGGGCCAAGATGTTTCAGCAGAAATTCATTTGAAACAGCCTCAGGGGATTTTTGAATTAGCATTTCTAGGAGATCCAGAATAGATTGACCTAACCCTGAAGGTAAAGGACTTACTTAAAATAGAATCAACCTCTGTTACGTAGAGAGTTGGAACAAGATCATGAAGAGGGAAATTCCCATGAGCCGAGGCATCTCATCTATCAGTAATGTTCTATCAGGTATTTTTAAAAAATGAAATACTCCTAATATTTATTCTTAGAAAATTAATCACATTAACACCAGCTCTCCTGTGGTAGTTTGAATATAGTTACTTTTTTATATAGAATGTAAAAGAGTAATTAAAACAAGTTCTAGAAACATTATAAAGTGAAATTTCAATAATTCAAATTTCTTAAGCCTGAATTGGCATTTTTATTGTAAAGTTTCAAACTTAGATCTAACTGTGGAGCCTATAGTATCTAATTTTTGGCCCATTTACTACTGTTTTGCTAATATTGCTGATAATACAGTGCTTACACAGCTTGCTTTACAATAAAACATGATTTTTCTTCCTTTTCTTTAAACAAAAGATTTTCATTGAAATAAAATCAATTAGATTTTGTAGCAGTGCTTGAAACCCAACAACCAAAACAGACAACTGATCTGTAGTTGTGACAGTGCCTCTATTAGAATGTACAATACTTCATTAGCAGATATTCTCTGTATAAATAGGCTGTCCTTTGAAGGCTCTACTGGAGACACAACCATTTATGTAATAAAAAGATACCAGCAGGGATCCGGGGATTTAGCTCAGTGGTTCCAGGGGCTGCTTTGCAAGCACAAGGTCCCAAGTTTGATCCCCGGTACCCCTCCCCCCCCCCAAAAAAGATACTGGCAAATCAAGTTCCTAGTCTCAGTCTTTGCACAGCTGTCTGATACATCCTAGTGTATGAGATCCTTTAAGTTTACAGTCATCTTTTTGTGATATTAGTGAAGTAAAAGTGTTTTATGATACAATTCTGTATTGGAAGATTGTACTGAAAGTCAACTTAAATGTTTTTTCACTGGAGTCAGCTGCCCTCTAGCAATGTCCAGAGAAACTTTGGATGTCACGCTGAGGAAGGGAATGCACTGACATCTTATGGACAGAAGTCATCCATGCTGCTATGCTTGCTGCACAGAAGAGGCCCCTGCAATAAAGAATCTTTCAGCTTAAGATGTGAATGCCGAGACTGAGAAACTGAAAATAGAATGTATGTCCCCCTGGCAATACTCACTCTTCACTTTAGCTTCACCAGGTGTGATGTGTGTCCTGAAGTTTTTTGATTTTAATTTGAACTTTAATGTGTCATAGATGTGAGCATGGACGGGAAAGTTAATGAAACATCAACTGATCATGGTGTTCATGCCTCAGAGTGGCCTGTCCCCAGCAAAGACTTCAAAGATTTGTGCTGGATGAACATGAATAGGGTCAAAGACTTGTGAAAATGTCAGGTACATATGTTCAAGATGGAGACAAAAGCAATCCACTGATCTCTGTGAGCAAACAAGAAAGACGGGGGGCCTTGAGCAAACAAGTTTCAGAGCATGAAAGTCACAGTACTTAATGAACTGTCAGTTGGGAACTACCTACCCTCAGCACAGGCAACACAGGAATTTGTAGAAAACCACTGGCCAAATTTCCTCATTTATCTTTAGTTTGGCTGACAAAAACATTCACAAATATTTTGGAAAGATTCCATACATTTTTAAAAACTATGCTCTTTTGGTTAGCTGTATTAGGCCTCGTCCACTGTCCTATCGGTCTGTAACTCCAGCAGGAAGAAATCGGAGACAAACGCGATTTTTAAAACACATTTTTATAAAGACAAGATTAAAACCGGTAAATTAAAGTGAATTCTTTGAGCAAATTCATTAAATTGGCCATTCAGCAGTTGGCTTTTGAGCAGTTGATCTATAACATCTAAATGTAACCTGGGTGAAGAGAAAGAAGCTACTGATTATTTTGCTCCATTTGTGATGTCAAGAAACGGCACTGAAATACACCGTGTCAAGTGAGGCAGATGTGGCCATCATTTTGGTGTCTTCTGATCACTTTGCTGATAACCTGCTGAGACTTCTTTGCTTTTCAGGTGTCTTAGTTACTTTCTCCTTGCTTAGACAGAATATTCGACACCAAAGTTAAAGGGGGAAAGGTTTATTTGGCTCAGTTTGTAGAGGTTTCAGTCCGTAATTAGCTAGCTCCAAGGCAGGATGGCAGAGGGGCAACAGTTCATGGCAGTAGAAGACAACAAAAGCCACAAGGGACCTCAACAGCATCTTTCTGCCCCTTTTATCCAGGCTAATTAGGGCAGGTAGCGCTCACACCCTTAATCCTAGTGCTTTTGGTTTTAGCATTGCACTGTGAATCACACATTCTAGATTCAGCCACCTCCGAAATAGCCCCACCTCATTTTCACGAGGCTTTGGGGGGACATCTAAACACAAACCATAACATCAGGGCTTTCCTCAAAAGACAGTAACAGTAGCTGATACCCCAGTAGGGTACCAAAAAGAACTTGTTCCATCCCATCTGCTATGTTAACACCAAATATATCCATTCATAAGTCGAATGAGGAGCCGTCTGTCCTTAGGGTTGAGATGAGAGAGATGAGACAGTTCCTGTATCAAACATTGCATTTTCAAAGATGAACCTTTTCTTTTAAGGGGTGCAGCATGCTTAAGTTGACCTCAATCAGGTGAGGAAGGGAGAGCTCTTGATTAGAGCTACGCATTTTCATCAACAACCCATGGCTGTTCATTATATCAAGGCTTTTAGAAGTCAGACTAAGTTGAAAAAGGAATGGCTAAGGAAGAGGCAAAAAGGAAGATGAGAGGTAACCACTGACGGACAAAGATGTAGTTATGGAGGTGAAATTGGAGTGGCGCATGGAAGAGGGAGAAAGCTGGAAGATCCTGTGAGGTTAAATTTCACTTCTGCTGTCTGCTAGTTTTTGAGCACCACTGCCTATAAACCCATTTCTTTTTCAGTAGAGCTATTGGTGCATATTTCATACTTATATGTGTACTTAGAAAGTACTCAGCACAAAGCCTGCTTCGATTGCAAATGCTGAACAAATTTCAGAGGGTAAGTTCAAAATAAAATTGGATAGGTCCAGTTTCAAGAAAAGTGTTTAGCCATGTAATTTACCTTGAACAACAGTGAAAAAGGGAATTGCTAAAATTAAAATTGTAATTTCTAAGATTTTTGTTGACTAAAAATTTTGTTAGACTGATGTAGTAGTGCTACATGGAAGCTAATTTCAAAAATAGAATTTACTCCAAAATAAAAAATATATATGCATGAGTATACATTAAAAAGCAAAATTTTAAAAACTTAATTATCTGAAGAAAAATAACAGCAGAATAATTACTCTTGGTACATGTTCACATAATTTGATTAGTTCCTTATTATCTGTTCTTAACAAAGTGTCACTGATATTTTTCCAAAGAATGTATTTCGAACCTGGCAAGGTGGCATACATGTAATCCCAGCTTCTTGGGAGTCTGAGGCAGGCAGATCAGAAGTTCATGGCCAGATTGGGCAATGTAGTGAAATCCTGTCTCAAAACAAAGGACTGAGGTTGAAGCTCTGTGCTAGGATTGCTCTTGCAGTTGGTTCCCAGTACTGCATATTATTTATGTAGAATATAAAATGACAGGTATATTTAAGTAAAAAGAACCTGTAACAGTTATTTTGTCCTGAGCTTGGGGGATGAGGCACATTAGAATCTCTTTGAGGACATTTAACACATCAGTGCTCAGCTGCATCCCTCATAAATTCAATCAGTTTCTGAGGGAGGAGTCAGGTATTTTATTGAAATTTCCCCAGGTGATTTTTATGTGTAGCCACCAATAAGAACCATCACATGGTGGGCCAGGGATTTAGCTCAGTGGTTCTGCCGCCTGCCTTGCAAGCATAAGGACCTGACTTTGATCCCCCGTACCAAAAAAAAAAAAAAACACGAACCATCACATGGTAATTTTTCATTAGAAAAGTTAGCAACTCACTATATTACAGATAAAATGATAATCATTTAGTATGTATAATGAGTGCACATTGTGACATTATGGAGCCAATTAGATCATCTGGGTAAGATTTCATATTATCCTTTTTTTTTTGGTACCTGCGCTTTCGAGGCAGGCGGCACCACTGAGCTAAATCCCCAACCTTAAGATTTCATATTATCCATCATTTCTGTTTGAAAATTCCCTAGTTATTTTGCCTTTATTTCCATGAAGTCTTAAAGGACTTAAATTATTAAGGGAGAAAAACTTCTTTGCTCTTTTATCATATTAATCAAACATCTTTTTTTTTTAAAGTGATTTGTCTATATTACTAATAGTCTTGTGGTAAGAATA